TATGTCCAACACTTGATACTGCTGCTCCCACTGCCACCGCTGCCACCACCTGCAGACTTGTCCTGGGTAAGTGTGGTCTTAAATTCTTTAGCCACCATGGCAGCCATTTCCATGGAAGCCATTTGAGTCAGCATAGCTTTGTGCTTGGCATCAGAAGAGATCTGCCAAGCAGGTGCATAGTCACTTTGAGAGCCCAACACGGTGTAAAGGTCTTCACCTTTGGAAGAGCAGCATGGGACCATCACTTGTTTGTTAGTGAATCAAATCCACTGACATCATTGGAAAGAGAAGCTCCTCATACTTTGGAGAAGCAATGGTTGCTCGCCGTGGTAAGACCCCTGAGAGCCGAAGTTGTCAAGTAGGGACTGTTGCATTTGGCATATGTTCATCTGAATTTCCCGGACGATAGCAGATGCATCGTTGACAAAGTGAGAGACATTTTCCCCAGTGTAATCTGTCAACTTGAGTGCCTCAGCTTGTTGACAAGACTCTTGATCTGGAGCTGGATGGGCGGTAAATCTTCTTCAAATGGTAAATAGGACATGAGGACCAGTTCGATCAGCGAGCTGTGGGATGACTTGCTTAAGGTCCTGCATGAGTGTTGGCGAACAAGAGTTGAGCACGGCTTCACCCGACCAATGCAGGTTCTGGGCATCGTATGAGCACTGAGCAAAACGATCGACAGCACCGTTGACCAGGACAGACGGCCCTGATCATCGACTTTGATAACTCCATTGATCGTTAGATCCTTATGTCAGTTCGCTCAATGTCACTGGAAACCATGCCAGGCTGGAGAAGCATGTCCAACTGAGTGCCATCGGTCTGAATGATTCGAAAGACGCTTTCCATCCCAACTGAGATCATAAACTCACTTAGAGCAATGAGCGATGGCACTACCTTGTCTGCGTTTGGTTCCCCAGAGAGACTAAACAGGAGGTCCGGTGAGTCACTCAGTCACTCCTTGCATTTCAATTCAATGGGAGAGAGAGCCTGATGGTTCTTGATCACATCCGTTTTGAAATCTCTCATGCACTGGGCGCTCATGGGAGAAGTTTCTTCGCCGCCGACTCCATGTCCAGTCCAAGCTCCAGTCGCATTGAGTCCTCCAACCCGAGGCTGCTTGAGAGTAGAAAATGCATCATTTTCAGTTCCGATTGGCGCTCTCATCTCGACAAGCTGATCAAGTACTCAAGATCCTACAGGAGGCCGGATTCACAATAATCCTGTTGAAGTGTGAATGGGCGTGCAAGAAACAGATTTTCTTGGACATTGGTTTGACTCCTCGGGTTAAGCCTATGGCGAAGAAAGTGCGCGCCATTCTGGACATGAAAGCACCGACAGATATCAAACAACTGCGTTCATTTCTCGGGTTGGCGACTTATTACCGTGATATGTGGCCTCGTCGTTCTCACACCTTGGCACCCTTGACAAAGCTAATCGGTACCAAGAAATTTGAGTGGACCGACGAGCAAGAACAAGCTTTCAAAGCCATGAAGGCTGTGGCGGCAGCTGACACTCTGCTTGCCTATCCCGATCACAACGTTCCATTCGAAATCGATACGGACGCTAGCGATTATCAGCTCGGTGGAGCTATCAAACAGAACGGACGGATTGTGGCTTACTACTCCCGCAAGCTCAACTCCGCCCAAAGAATTATACTACCATTGAAAAGGAATTGCTCTCCATCGTTGAAATCTTCAAAGAGTTTCGGTCTATGTTACTCGGAGCTCGTATCAATGTGTTTACTGATCATAAGAACCTTACTCACAAACTTTCCGCTTTTCAAACTCAACGTGTTATGCGATGGCGATTGCTGTTGGAAGAGTTTGGTCCAACCTTTCATTACAAGCCGGGCCCCCAGAACGTCCTTGGCGACGCCCTCAGCCGGGTGCCCACTTCTCGCGAAGATCGCGACAATGCCGATTCTGATCCCCTTTCCACATCTGCCGACCGATGTTATTCCATTGTGGAGGAGAATCAGAGGTTGGCTGAATGTTTGATGCATCACCCAGACGATGGTATGGAAGAATCTTTCCTGAAGCATCCTACATTCGACGGAGAAGGAAGGAATCCCTTCAATTTCTCGGTCCTCGCGGAGTACCAAGCAGCTAGTGCAGTTTTGGCACAGACTGTGGTTGATAACCTGGAACGATTTTTCAAGAAGATGTTTGGAAACAGTGAGCTGATATGCTTTTGTCAGAATGACGAGGACAAGATTGTCCTGACAAAAGAGTTGCTTCCCAAGTTGGTCAGCTTCTATCACAAGTCCATGGCACATGTCGAAGGCATGGATCATTTAGAACAAACGATCAAGACACATTTCTATCATAGAGGTATTCGCGACGAAGTCCGAAAACAAATTGAGCAGTGCGAAGCATGTGCGAAGAACAAACGAGCACGACGTGCTTATGGAGAATCTGCTCCATGTGATGCTACGGCGATGCCCTGGCAAGAAGTCCATTGTGACACAATCGGTCCGTGGACGATTGAGTAACGACAACGGACGTTGACTTTCAATGCTATGACGATGGTGGACCCCTGCACAACCTTGTTAGAGATTGTGCCTCTCATGCGACGCACGTCGGAAGAAGGTGCCGGAGTGGTCGAAGATACGTGGTTTGCTCGGTATCCTCGACCCACGAAAGTGGTTACGGACAACGGTCCGGAGTTCAAACTGGAATTCATTGCGATGGTGAAAAAGAATGGTGCAGTGCATCGCTACTCGTCCCCTCGTAATCCACAAGGTAACTTGATGATTGAACGGACTCATCAGGCAATTGGTCAAGTATTGAGAACCATAGTGGTCTCGCGCGATCCCAAGAGTGTTGCTGATGGGATCAAGGTCATTTCCGAAACCTTGGCGACAGCGATGCATGCTCATCGTTGTTCCGTGCAGAGTACGAACGCGTATCTCACTCCTGGTGCTCTTGCCTTCAAACGAGATATGTTTCTTGATATTCCTATTTATGCAGACATCCTGGCCGTGCAACGACACCGTCAATCCTTGGTTGACAAACGTTTGCTGCGGGCCAATGCTAAACGCATTTCCTATGACTACGAGGTCGATGACCTGGTCTACAAGCGTGCGTATCTCGGTCTCAGTGATAAGTTGAAGCCTACGGCTTCCGATAACTTTTAGGAGCGAGAGCTCTGGATCCCGTCAGAGATAGCTCCAACAGCTATGCTGGCCTACAGCTCCAGCATGCACAGTTGGCTTATCTCCAGCAAAGCAGCAAGAAAGGATCGTCCTTTCTACCATAGTTAAGAAAATAGTACGAAAGATTGAGACCGATCCTGATTAGCTTGTAGCCCCTTTGATACCGCAGCAGTTGATACCTATCCTGTTGAGGCCGGGCAGAAGCAGTAGGAGGTAGCAGATAGTACTGTTCCCAGACTGCCACTGCACGATTGAATAACGAAGGTCCCCAGCTCCTGAGGAGAGCTGGCCCAAAGGGTCCAGCAGAGAGCTCTGCTGGCCCTCCTGTCTGACTGACAGGACCAAGTCCTTGGTTTGGTGCCTACTGGAGGTGTTGGAATACTCCTGAGGCACGACAAGGCTCCCTGAACTGCCTGACTACCGCTGTCCCTGAGGAAGGGTTTCAGCGAGATCCAGTCCACTACTTGGGTATTGGAACTGATCCTTCTAGAAACTTGGATTAACAGTCAGCATAGAATTCAGGCAATTCTTAAGGGAAGAAGAGACCTCCTTGACGAGAAAAGGATCTCTTCGAAATACAACAATCAGTGCTACAGCTACAGTTGAATTCATTGCATTTCATTGGCATTTTGAGGTGGTTTCAAGGCCCATTTTGAAGCCTAAGTCAACAACCTTCTGGTCAATTTCGATAGCTCCAGCCACCACCACATGGACAGGAACCTTTGACTTGGCCATACACCAATCTACCACTCCAACAGAAAGCCCATTGCCTTGAAGAAAACCTATCTTCGAAGGCACCACCAACATCAACCTCATTGACGACGGCAGCCACACGATAAAAGCACCCAATTTGCTCGAAAGCAGAAGCAGTTACTAGCTAGTACGGTGTTACGGTGAAGGGTGAAGGAACACCTGGAGTCTCCGAGTGAACGAAAGACTTATTGGTTCGCACCGCTTTGGCAACTGAGATCAAGTCTTTTACGTCACGAGGAAGTTGGCTGTTTATCAAGAGCAACGGTACTTATCTCTTTGTTTTTACGGGCTTATCGCTTTCAAGTCAACCAGCGATTTACACGGAACGTTGAAGGAGTTCGCAGAATTATTCGCATTGGTTAGGCATATCTCTTTGCAGTTTCCCGTGCAGTTTTCGAGTGTCACGAGTTTCCGTCCTGTATTGGATTCAGCCTTTTTCGGAACGGTAAAGAAGATCTCACGGAAGTCTCTCAGCCAATCAGATCGTCCGTGCAGTTTCGGTACTTATTACGAGTGCACTGAGTCAGTTCTGCAGGACAGAGAACGCTCCGTACCGTTCCAAGAGGTTCCGTACCGGTTTCGCGCTTAACGTTCAACGTTCCCCGTACCGGTTATTGTCCTGAAAGCAGGCCAAGCCTCAGTAAATCCTTCGGCTCACATTTTAAAGGTTTTACGTGGTCAAGTCATTGAATTCGGCACTTCGAATTCGGCACGAAATCGCGATCTTTCCGACCATCGCTCGCATCACCAAGCCCAACTCGGAGAGCCACGAGACAACCAAGAGGTCAAATCGCTTGGTTGAAAGTGTTACCAGTGCATCCGCCATCCTTTGTTTAGTCAGTGGGTGTCTCACCTTGAATTTTAGGAGCTTTTGTGGGGAGATTCATTGACCCCAGTAAGCTAGCTTCCAGTGAGGCAAAACCACCACAAACCAAGGCAGTTCCCACCACCAGAGCAATTCAGGAAACAGGTTCCAAAGCTTGCACACAGGCTACCTTATTCCAACACACCTAGATTGAATTTCCAAGACCCCTACCAAGGTTGCAGGAAGTCCCCTTTGTGTTTTCCCAGCTACAGTTGAGTCAAGCTTTATCCCACGGCAACAAGAGCTGAGATCCAGTGTTATCACCAAGTACAGCCTACACCTCTTCCTTGGCAGAAAGAAAGCAACCATGTCACTCTACATACCCACAGTGACTCCTCCACCATCACGGAAGGCCTCGAAGGCTAGAGAACCAAGGAAACAGGCTAGCCCAAGAACAACTAGCCACACTTCCCCTACAACCCGGGAGGATACGATTCGGGCCATCATGAAGAGTCTGGATGCGCAGCACACCTCTATCCAAGCCCTTGACACTACCCTTGATAGTCTCATTGAAGAGCGACAGTGGTGCATTCATCAGCTGCTTGACAAGTCCCTTAGTCGAAACCTCGAGAAGATCAACGGAAAAGCAGCTGCCCTCAAGCAGAAAGCAGCCGCCTCCAGGACTAGGAGGCACAACCGGTACCACGCATCTCCCAAGCACGATTGTGGGGAGTTGCCTGGCACTAGTGTCAAGCTCACGCAGCGGCGACTGGCAGAGGCCCTCTTTGCTTCCAACAACAACAGCAATGTAGCCACAGTTCCACCGACTGGGCATCCAACTCCCAAGTCAGACTGTGGGGAGTTGCACGTCATTCGCCCTTCGGCCGGTGCCACAGCCAACCACCAGCCACCTTCCAGGCCAGCTTGTGGGGAGTCGCCAGCCACTTGTCCTTTGCAAGTTACAGCGGCCAACAACCAGCTGCCCCATGCCACACCCTTGGTTGCTCCGGTGCAACCTTTTGCCCTAGCTGGTGCTCCCAATGCATCACTGGGTGATGGGGAGATTAGAGAGCTGCCTACCTCCAGCTCCAGCAGTCACCCAGCTTCTACATTGGCCTATGGGGAGGCCAGTACTGTAGCCCACAGCAACAGTGATTCTAGCAGGACGATCCCACCATCCAAGGAAGTCCCGCCTGTAATCGATACAACGGTTGTCCCTTCCAATCAGGACCGCACGCCCTTTGGCCAGCAGACGACAACCAGCCCATTTTGGATGCCTCACAGTTTGCCCATCAAGGCAAAGGCAACCAACTCGGTTCTAGCAGAGCCACCTCTCTTTGGTACTCCCAGTGCCACCAGGCTGGTTCCAAATGAGACGATCCCTTTGCAGGCAAGTGCACACCCAAAGCAGGATGCTTTCAAGCAGACAGCTTCCAGGGCAGGTGCAACAATCAACCTTGGCTGGAGATCCAAGTGTCCACCACGTCGAACGACACCAAAGATCCCCAGCTTGGTCCATCCCGGACCACCTCTCTTTGGTACTCCCAGTGCCACTAGGCTTGTGCCAAATGAGAGGATTCCTATGGCAGCAATGCCACCCAGTCGACCATCCCTTTGTCGACAACCACCACCACTGTCTGACAGCAGCAACAATGTCACACCACAGGATGAGTCCAAGGTTCGAACCACCATGGTCTCAGTCTCCCATGTCTCCAAGGCAATGGGGAGTCCTCAAGTGTTTGACATGTGGTTCCATCATGTGTTTGCTTCCATGATGGCCCACAGGATTGGATCCCTCCAGTCCGTGCTGCCAGCACCGTCCCTGGATTTTCGGACGGGCAACTAGACTACGTCCCTGTCTGGTACAGCCCATCCATTCCATCCGTCAAGGGACATGATTGCGGGGCAAGAAGGCCGCTCCACTGAGAGCTTGCCACCGCTGAATTCGGCCTGTGGCAAAGCCACGAATATTTGTCTACATATGAAGAAAACAAACAACAGCCATGATAGCAACCAGCACCGCCGACACCTACCGAGTCTGGCCATGCTGATGAGCACGCAATCCCTTTGCGCCTACCTTTGGTACAGCAACCCACCAACCATGCAAGTCCCTCCACTTGTGAGATCTCCAATCTCACATTGTGTTCCACTAGCAGTCGATGCCGAGTGGCCCATGAATGTTCCGTTCATGGGGAGAGTATGTATTGTAGTTAGTTAGTAACTAACTAATCGTATATCGTGGCATTCCCATGAGAGCGGATCCAATAACGCACTCGTGGGGACGATAACTTTTAGGAGCGAGAGCTCTTGATCCCGTCAGAGATAGCTCCAACAGCTATGCTGGCCTACAGCTCCAGGCATGCGCTAGTTGGCTTATCTCCAGCAAATGCAGCAAAAAAAGGATCGTCCTTTCTACCATAGTTAAGAAAATAGTACGAAAATTGAGACCGATCCTGATTAGATTGTAGCCCTTTGATACCGCAGCATTGATACCATCCTGTTGAGGCCGGGCAAAAGCAGTAGGAGGTAGCAGTAGTACTGTTCAGCTGCCACTGCACGATTGAATAACAGGCCCAGCTGAGGAGAGCTGGCCCAAGAGGTCCAGCAGAGAGCTCTGCTGGCCTCCTGTCTGACTGAAGGCCAAGTCCTTGGTTTGTTCCTACTGGAGGTGTTGAAAACTCCTGAGGCACGACAAGGCTCCCTGAACTGCCTGACTACCGCTGTCCCTGAGAAGGTTTCAGCGAGGTCCAGTCCACTACTTGGGTACTGGAACTGATCCTTCTAAAAACTAGTTTGCTGGTCCCTACCGTGTTTCCTGCGTTCATACCAAATAGTGGCAAGCGGTAAACGATCAGCGCAGTGCCTGCATGCGATATCGCACGAGCGATCACTGAACAATTCGCGCTTTCCAAAGCAATCCAGTACCCCGTTGCCACTGTACGGGCAAATATTGAGGATTTCCCCGATTCAATACTAGAATGTTACGAGGAGCAGGCGGAGGTGGTGTTCGTGCGTCGTGCCGTGAATTGTGTGAACCTCGAGGTCACCGAAGGTGGGGAGAGGTGACATACGCACAGCGGACGTAGCCGTCTTAATGCATTAGTAGTTCTAAGTCTAATTCTTCACCAATATTCCGAGTGTAGTATCAGTATCAATGACTGAGCATCGAGCACAAGAGTGCGACAGCAACCACAAAGATTCCTCCAGCATCGATCTCTGTGTACCCGGAGGAGGTCGTGTAACCAGAAACAAAGGTGGGTATTGCAAGGCACCAGCCGTATGAGCAGGGGAGAGCGTAATGCAAACGTCAGATTGACTCTTGCTTCGCGTAGATGTTAAGTGCGGTGGGCACTGGCTCCCTTGGAGAAGTGACCACAGTGACGACAGAAATTGGCCAGGGTCTTTTGCACACGTAGCATATGAG